ATGTACATAAATGCGCGATTATCACATTCAATAACTGAACACCGCTAATAACGAGTAGTACTATTTTACGTTGACCATAGGGACTATACCTTCTTCGATGTCCAACGTTACACAGGATTCCCATGTTTGAAATCTTCCAGATAGCCTGTGCTGAAATTTTCGTATGTACTGAGTATTTGGATAGCCGTGTTGGAATAATGCAACCTGCCGATCATCTGTTTCTGAATAGCAAATACGGTATCACGCATTTCATGACAAAGGGAAGCGCAATAAACAAACCCAGTGTGACAAACGAACGATAAATTAGAACAGTGTACATAAAAGTATACAAAAAACTATTTTGAGCTGAATTGCCATTTTAGGCTGTCCAAAATTTAAAGTACACCATAGCGATTATCAATATAGACAAAGAAAACGCAGAACCAATTACTCTTCCTACCTTATGATCGGCTCATAACTTCCGCATTAGATGAAGACCATAAAACAATGGGGAAATAAGTCAAGCGTAAAAGCATGAGCAGCAGAATTTGCAGCTGCACTAATATGATGGAGTATTAAGGATATGTACTCCTTTTGTCTACTCACAAAAGTTCAGCTATGTATCTCGCTTCACCAAGAAAGCAACACTGAACGGGATTACGGTGAGAAGTCGCTAATGGGCGCTACAGACAGCAGCTCGATTGGTCTTCTTGTTTCCGGCAGTGATGAAAACGACACCTGTTGGATAATACGTTAATAAATTATAATTATGATAAGTGACGCAACGGTTTCGTCAAAAAGTGGACTATAAATAACGAATTTTGTGATGTCTCTTTATCATTGAAAGACCTTGTGTCTTAAAGGCTTCTTATTAGATGGAGTAGTGTGTTATTCTCTTCTTGCCCTGAACAGTTGTACGAAAAGAAAGGAAGGTCTCTAACCGTTGGTATGTCGTCTTTTCTTTTACGCTTTCGCTATGGAACACTTTTTGACGCCCTTCCTTCCATGCTGTTAATGGTGGGGCTTATATTTTCATTTTCATGCCATCAGTGGAGTGTTTTATCTTAAATGGAGAGTCCGCGGCAGCTATGTGGCAGTGGTAGGCACCTCACATAGTCTCCTTACGACGGAGTGGTACTCATTTATCGACCTCATGAGGAAAAACATAGTGATCTATCCAGGACTCAAACCAGCGGCCTCTCAGTACTGAGTCCAAGGCTAAGTCTCATCTGAGCAACTTCAACTTATGCTGAAAAACAGCTGTCAATATGGCTATTTCCGGTATAACGTGAAACGATGATTTATCGATCACGAATTGGTGTCGACGCTACGGTCTGTCGTACCAAAGTTGGTTGATCTATTGATTAGGTGTCTGTAGTCGTAGACTTTCTGTGTCGAACGTGCGACACTGCCATAACAACAGGCACGGACCGTCAGCACGATTTTCCGTGGTGAACTTGGACAGTAATCTACCACTACGGCAGTACTGGTAGGTGATTGTAAATTATAAATTGTAAGCCGCTCGTAATATGTTCAAATTAAACAACCATAACTCTTTTGTCAAGAACATGTGGCTTTTATCCGACTTTCTCTCGTTGTGGGCGTGTCACAAACTCAGAGGGCGTTCATCCAATTTTGTTTTCTCTTGAGCGCTGTTTGGCGAGTAGTTGGAGGGGTCGGAGGGGCAGTGCCTTACGGTAATAGGCCTCGTGAACTGTTGCCCAAGTCTCGGGAATTTTGTACGACATCCAAATTGATTCCGACAAATCGATCATTTTGTAAACTTTTGGTTGATTCCGATGTCATTGGCGACTTGCGGGTAACACCACACAATCTGACAGCGTCTGAAATCATTACGCAAGTTCCTGTACTCTCCTCGGGCCTTCGTCCATCACAGTGACATGATCAGCACATATATTGGTCGAGCCATAATGCAGATATGCTTCATGAACGCGTCGTGTTTCGCCAACCTCACTGGCAGTGCCATCAGTGCCCTCACTGCTAACCTTACCTCAGCACCATCAAGCCGTACTCTGTCTAAGCCGCCTCCAAAACTGTTCGAAACAATTAGCGGATGTGACGAGGTCATGAAACCCTACATACAAAATTGTACAGTCGCTGCTTACGCACAACTGGTACAAGACAGTTGCAGGAAATTGTACATCGTAAGTGTAAAGATTATTGTGTTGTAGTGAACGAAATGGGAGTACCCATCCTGCGTCAAAAA